GTGAAAGTTAATGAAAAATCCAAATTTTGGCAGTGCTGCCACGAGCCTGGCTCCTTTCACTCCATTCTGCTCCCCATGGTTCAATTTATTCGGTCACATTGTTCTGCATTTACACTCTTCCTTAAGGGCACACAATTTGTGAGCTTGCTTATTTGGAGGCATAAAATTGGACCTAATTGTTATGCAGATGACATCGCAAGTGAGACTTAATGAGGCACACTGATGCTGGTAACTTCCCTGACTCTGTAACCGGGATATTAACAGTTCGATGCCTCACAGTTGGGCTAATTTTGAAAAAAAAAAAAAAAAAAAAAAAAGATTGACACATTTTTACCTCTGGTAGTAAAACTCTCTAAATATTCTTCATGCAATGCCTGGTTATAGAGGAGTGCAAAATATTTTCCCAATTTGTTTAAACAGATGCAGCTTAAACAACACTTTCCAATTTGGAAGACGGATGGATCATTGTTCTATGAGTTGTTCTCAGTAACTTTATGTTTTGACCTGTTGACTGTGTTGTTTAGTCTTGATGATACTGTTTGTTCTCTAATGTCCTCTGAGTCATTGACAGAACAGCTGGATTTTTACTGAGATTAAATTACACACAAGTAGACTCTCTACATTTGGCAAAATCCGAAGGAATTTGATTGGACTTGGTTTTATTTTGTAGCATCACTGCAAAGGCACCTGGACATAACTGCAACCTCAAAAATTTTAATGAACAAAATCTTTTGAAAACTGTATAAACTCCTTTTATTTTATGCCATAAAATTCCAGTAGCATGCATTAAGATTTGACGGTTTTATAGGAATACTTTTGAAACCTTCTGTGTAGTTATCTAGAAATTTTGTATTCAAGAACGTTTCTCTGCCTTCTTGACCCGGCTCTGTCAGAAAAAGAAAGACAATGAATTAGAATACAGCGCTTCAAGAAAGCTAATGTCTCTGTCTGACACACTGATGACATCTTTTGCAGACATGGGGAGATTGGTGGAAAAATGACACCAGATATCCTCCTCAGTAAGAAGAATAAAGGTGATTAGAGTGATGGAGCTGATTAAATGCAACGCATACAGCTGAGATGAATGAGCAGAGTGGAGAAGCTGTGGCAGCAGTGGCAGAGTCAGATTAAAACAGGACGTTTTAGATGGTATAAGTAATTTGTTCAAATGCCTGGAAGGGCAACCACTTACATTTACATCAAAAAGACCTTGCAGCAAATATGACTTCCATTACATATCTTTAAAACGAAAATCATGCATTTAATTTCCTAAAAATCTGCCTTCCATGAAAAACAAAATTATTATTCAAAAAAAAAAAAAAAAAACACTTTCATGATCCCAAAGGGAAATTAAATGTTGTAACTCATAATAATTCAAATTCTTCAAAGGGTAATTATAGATGGTGATGGCAGGAAAGACATCATGTAGCGGGCCTGTGTTACAACTAATTTGAAGAAGCCTCTGACTGAAGACACTCTGTTTTTCTAAGACTCATGAAGAGAAAATTAACCTGCAAGAAACAAAGAGAAATTGAGACATTTCCACATTGTAACCGCTCATTTGAGTAGGCTTATGAAAATGGAAGTGCTTTAACTCACGAATAATATCATACTTAGAAAATATATAATAATAAAAAAAATGGACTGGGCACAGAATGACTCAACACACCTGTGAAACTCCTCAAGGGAATTTGATCGCTGTTGATTGGATTTGATCAAAGCCTCTCAGAGAGTTGATTCATATATGATGATTCCAAACATGTCACAACTAAAACTACTTATTTGGAAATTATTTAGGGTCTTATTTAACATGTTGCTCTTTGTTAGTTAGGAGGGACATTGTGTGTCCGTGGAGATGCATTCCTGGCTGTGATTGGTTGTTTTTCTGTATTTCTGCAGATGAAAGTAGGATCATAGTGAGAAGGCAGAGGAGCATGATGTTTTAACTGTCTCATACTATGCTGTCACGACACAGTGACAGTTTTAACAAATATGTAAAGAAAAAAAAAACAAAAAAACAAAACATTTTTTGAAGTTACATACGGAGTGGGAAGAAGAAATGTTTGAAAGTAGTTCTTCAGGAGCCTTGAATGTTAATAATACTCAATATGAAGCCACAATTAATCTAAAATTACTCATCCTGAAAAACATATTGAGACATTTATTGGTTGTGAGATTGATTGTCTTCAGCTATAAAGACAAATCATCAAACTTTACTTTTACTATGATGGTTCTTGGTGAGCTGTGCCCAGACAAAGCTTTCTTTGTGTCCCTGAATCCAAGCTCTCAGTTGGAAGGCAATCATCTGTTTGCAAGGATTAAAAAAAAAAAAGCTCAAAAAAAGCTGAAAGAAACATCAATTGTTTCAAGTATTCTTCCAAACTTGTTACCATACAGGCTGCAAACAAAACAGCTTTTCCAGATGTTTACTTCATATGTTTTAGTAGAGCATGTCTACGCAAACAACCGTCACAGCATGTCGCTCAAATTCATTTATTATTATTTTTTTGCTCCCTTCTTTCACTCACATTGCAGGACAGCTGTTCTAAGCAGCAGTGCCGTCATTTCTAATAAAAGCCTATTTTCCAAAAAGACAAGCCTTTTAACGCAGCTCTAAAAATACAGACAAGTGTTAAAATAGCATATCAGATGTGAGAAGCGTGACTGAGGTGTTTCTGTATGAGTAATAAGCAGGAAAGCGAATGAGCGATCCCACTGATGAATGCAAAGTAACAATAACAGACACGTTTTAACGGGTGGTCTCTCTCTGCGTGTCAGAAGCTGGACAGCGTGTGAACCAGCCAGATGAGAACATATGCTCTCTGCCCCGCAGCATGATCACAGACTCCCAGATTAAAAACCTACAATGTCTTGCAAACATATTCACAACCCTTTAGGGTTTCTGACCTTTTTTGGAAAAAAAATAAATAAAAATTACAAGCACAAATTTGAACACGTTTCAGAAAATAAAAACCTAAAATCACATATTACAAATAGTGAGACATGGATCTGTTCTGCTGGGCAGGGATGGATCTATCATCGAAACGCACTGCAGCTGTGAAGCTGTAAAACAGCACTATTTAGATTGTAGTTTTCAGTGTAGACGGTGCATGAAAAAAAAGGAGAACTTTATTGTCTTTGCCTCGTCTCTGTAATCTTTACAGCTGTAGAGTCATCTAACTAGAACTCAACAGATTGTAGCTATCGCTACATGCTTGGGACACTAGAAAATATTGAAAACAGGCTGATTCAAAGATTCGCCGAGGGATTATTTTTAATCCTATTTAACCAGTTAATAACACACATTTCATGCCCCCAAATAACTCCACAGGCTCTGATCGGGGGGCAGCTGCGCTGAGTAGCGGAGTGGGTGGACAGGAGGCAGATGCGAGCTCCAGATTGGCTCCTGCTGCTCTAACATAATGGGGGCTTCTGGTGTCGTACAGGGCTTGCCCCCCATGACTTAGTAAAAAAAAAAATAACAATAAGTTCTTTGGCGCTCGGGCCCCGGTTGAGGACGTTAAGCTGTGAATTACAACAGCTCGAATGAGCATTCCCAATACTGATTAGGAATGTCATCCCCCGGCACCCGATACTGGTGGTGGAGGTTGGTGAAGGATGGGAGTCTGTTGAGTGGAAGTGGAGAAGGGGCGGAGGTGGGTTGAGTGCAGCTGGAAAGCGGAAGACGCTATGGATGGAGGTTCTTTACAACGGGAGCTTGGTCGGTGATTGGTCATGACGTGGCTGGGTTCAGCAATGATTGGTCGACGACGATGAGCGAGACACGCCGATTGGATGATGCAGGTGGGGCAAGAGAGTCTTCCAGTTTGAATTTACGCCAAGGCTTAAATTCAAACCTTGGCATTTTGCTTTGTTCTGGGATTTTTTTTTTTTTTTACTTTATTCTCTGCTTAACATGCAGAAGAGCAAGACCAACGGGTAGAGGTGGTGCTCTTCATGTCATGCAGCAATGAGGAATACTTGTAGAAACACCTTATTAATGAAACAACAGCAGCAAATCACAGTCAGAATCAGATTTGCCCATCCTTCTTTGGCAAATAACTAGTGAAGGCATCCATGAACATAAGTTTTCAGTTCCTGCTACAGATTCTCAACTTGAACTGGACTGTGGTTTGGACTTTGACTGGATCATTCTAATATATGAGCATTCCTGGATCCAAATCCCTGCAGTGTTGCCTGTGTGTTCAGGGTTGTCGTACTGCTGAATGCGACACTCTTAACAGGTTTCCTTCCAAGGTTGCTCTCTATTTATCCCCGTCCTTTTTTCTCAACAACCTGACCAGTTTTGTTATTAATATTCCTATTAATAACAACACATAAATGAGCTCAAGCTTTAACCAGAAAACTTTCCCCGGCTTGCAAATGCTCAAATTTAAAACCTACGCAGTTTTCGTGAGATTCTCTGCAACGCAAAGCTTGAGTCAGCCTAAATATATGCTTTAAAATCCCCACTTGAGAAACCTTATGAAACTGTTCTGGAGAGCTGACAGCTGGGCCGTGAGATAATTGAGCTTTAGATTCATAGCAATTGTGTATTACCGCTTTAAAGGACATAGTCCAGCTCATTGTGATATTTGTTTTAGCAGTTTGTCCAAAAGCTTATGACGTGTGAGAGAATCTGTTGGCTTATTGACTTTGCTAAACTGCATACTCACCGACGTACAATAAACAGAGCGTCCGGGGCGCCTGACTGTGAAAACAAACCTGCTTGTCAGATTTGTGTTTGACCTGTTGATGCTGGGAGAGAATTGTAAAAAAGCATATAGATGTAAGTGAACAGCACAGAGTGGTTGATTGGAGAGAGGGGGAGAAAAACAAAAAAAAAAAAGAAGCAGAGATTGAAAAGATGAAGGTGAGTAACGGAGGAAACTAGAGCAAATGTGGGCCGGTAGAGGAGGAAGAGGAGGAGTTGATCTGAAGTGAAGGAGAGGGAGGAGAGAGGGGGAAAAGGGAGGCAGGCTTAAATCCTCGCACCATCATTACCAAGGCGCACATGCAGCCCCTCCTGTGATGGAGTGAGAGGGGATGGAGAGAGATGCAGGGAGAAAAAGATGGAGTTGCACAGGGAAAGGAAAGCAGGATTACTGGTGTGACAGCACAGGCAGATGAGCGTCAGCTCAGCGGAGAGGGAGAAACTCTGCTGAAGGAAGAAAAAAAAAAAGAAGAAAAAACAAATCAGTGCAACAGGATGAGGACCTGCTAGTGCACAGCCTGCCCGACCCCACAGACCTGCCATCTGTCCTGCTTTTTTCTCTCTCTGTTCCTGACGCTTCCAGCACCCTATAACATCTGGATCACCTCACATCCATATGGGAAGGAGGGCAGGAGGGGAGGAACAAACCTCAATTCGATCCTTTTCTTTTTGCTGCTAAAGCAGGACCAGAGGAGGAGCATCAGCAGCTGGGGGGCCTGATAAGTGAAGCAAAGGAGGAGGAAAACTTTCTTCAAACATGTTTAGGTTCGGACAGGATCTTTCCCCATGCGTGTGGGAAATTTTCTAACTTTCTATGGATTTCTATTTTTTTTTGTCTCTCTCTCTGAGGAGGGAGAGGTAGAAAAGGAAGGAGGAGGCTCCACCGTCAGCAGTGCTGGAGTGTTACAGAGGTTTGTGCTCCTGTCATTGAGGAAGCATTTTATCACTCTCCCTCCCTCTCTGCCTCTTTCACTCCTCCTCTCATCCGAGCAGCGGGGAGCCTGACGGATACAGACAGAGAACCAAACACAGCTGCTTCACACACACACACACACACACACACATACACACACACAAACACACACTCAGGCTGCTGTGCCAGGGCTCCCACACCTCCCTTTCCTTCTTTCACCCTCCGTCACTTTCCTCTCCTGTCCCGTTTTGATGCCCTGTCTTCACCTCCACGACCACTTGTGAATGTGATGCACGCAGGAAAGCAGACGGGGAGCGGAGCGCCCAGACAGTTTTTTTTTGGGGGAAAAAAAGACACACACACACACACTTGCCATCACGTTGTGAAGTCCTTCAGGAGAGTGTGTGGATATCAAAGGCTGCTTTGCACACACACACGCACGCGCGCGCACACACGCGGAGGCACTGATGAACTCACACTCTCCTGCTCTCGCTGAAAGACGTGGTCTAAATGTGGACTCCTACAGGTGCTGAGAGGGGAGAGAGGGGCAGGTGAGGAGCAGGTGAAGGCAAAAGGAGACGCTTTGAGGAGAGAAAAAGAGAGAATAATGATGGAGCAGCTGGAGTTTAAGTTGGATGAGAGCAGAAAACACAGGTAAGTGCATAAGGCAACCATTCTGTCACTATCGGAGACCTATATCCTTTACGTCTAACAAGTATGATTGGATATAAATCAATGGATACAGGCAGAGCTGGGATGCTCAGGGGCGTTCTGAGAGCCTGCTGCGAGTAGTCACACTTTCAGTTTTCGTAAGTGACGAGTTTCCTCGGGAGAAGGTGCGCATCTGTTGCTGACAGAAACGGAGCAACGGTTTTGTTAGTGGAACACCGAGATCCTGTGTGAGACTGAAGACATTTGCATTTCCCTCTCAGGGGTTTGATTCTTACCTGGCGTCTGAGTTCAACCTGTTTTAGTTGTGCTGCTGATTTGCCCCATAATCATCAGCAGCTGTCTGCTCCAGTTTTACTACTGAACGCTGAGCTGCAGCGTCACTGCTACGCAGACCTGTGGGTCCTGAGCAGGGGCTTTGGGCCCCTTCACTAAGGCTCAGAAAAGGGGTCACACAAAGATTTATTAGAGTGTTTCATCAGATAAAGGAGCAATTCTCATTTTCATTTTCATTTTGCATTGATTTATTTTTCTTCCTTACGCTGTCGTATTTCACATGATTGCTTTTCACATTTGAGTTACACGTAATTATGATAATAATTTCAATTGAGCCCATAATATTAATAAAAATAATATGCTTACATGGTATACTACATATCAAAGCTGGGCTTGGATTGATTTTCGATGCGAGTAGGATGACCTTGGGTGAAAAAGTTAGTCAAAAGGAATAATGCTAAGCATGATAAAAGCATTTATATTTAAAACAATCACTCCCATAGCTGGAAAAACATAACATATTGATTATTTCATTATTTTAATGTTGGCATGTTCATATGTTTGTGCTTTTATACATAGTTAAGCAAAAATAGTGAGCTAAACACCCATTTCATCAAATAGCAGCTTTTATATTAACAAGACTATAACACAGAATATTACATACACGAGGTTTGCAACTTTAACTAGTTCCTTCATTGGGTTTTGTGCTCTACTTAACAGACATGTTGCTTCTAGATTTAAAACAGTGGTAGCTTAACAAAAGAAAACTAGTTACTAGCTACTAGTTTTCAAAATATTTCCGAATGGCCAAAATTGAAAATATTTGAGGGAACATACAAGAACTGTGAACATCTTCCTTCAAATTCAGAAGACAGAAAATCACAAAATAAATGTAATAAAACACTTCAGTGATGAAAAGGAGTTGCTAGTATAAAACCAACGTCAACAGGGCATGTTAGGAAAAAGGATATAAGTTCTGAATGAAACTGTTAAGTGTATGATTTTATATGACTTAATGGGAACTAAGTGTGTGGTTCCAGATGGGCTGTTGGAGGCTGAAATAGAGAAAGGACTAAACCAAAACAAAGACAAAAGAATAGCAGAACCAGAAACTAAAACTAAAAAAGAACAGGCATCAACTCAAGAAAAGTCAAACCACAAGCAAAAAGAAAACACTAACCAAGTCTTTGACATCATGACTTCTGAAGAAACATGCCGGATAATTCATACCACTTAAACTTTTTTTGGAGTTTGTGTCATTGCAACCAAACACTATCCTTTATTAAAATTTTATATGACACCAATTGTAGCATTTCTATTCAGTACAGTTTGTTCCGACACCTCTAAATACAGTACAGCAAACCCAACTACTTTTAGAAATAATTATTCAAAACAGTTCAAATCTCAGCTTTAGTCCAGGTGTTCTGTGTTAGTGAATATTAGAGAGAAAAAAAATCAGCGTCATAAAGACAGAGGAACACAGCAGAGAGATTAGAGAAAACGTCTCGGAGAAGTTTAAAACATAATAATGATTAAAAAAAAAAAAAACAAAAAAAAACAATACCTCAATCTTTGAACATCTCAGAGATCTGTTCAGTCCTTCATCTGATTGTAACTCTGCAGCAGAATCATCTGTAAACACAAGAGCTATTAATCATGAACTCCAAGCTGACCTCTGTGGAAGACTGGCAGGAAAGTCACTGAAGTTGTTATCAGTTTGCAGTGAGCAGTGAAACATTCGGAGCCATTCGGACATTTTTGGCCAGCAATGCAGACTAACACTCCACATCACTGTGAACACAACATTTTCAAAGTAAAACATGAAAGTGGAAGCTTCATACAGTGGGAATAAATTTCTTTAGCATGGACAAGAAAGTTGGCCATCATTGATTAGAAGACACAGGGGGCCAATTGTAGACGGATACGCTGTTAAAGGCTGTATAAGACTATAATGGAAGTTCACCTTTCAGGATGAGCCTTACAGCAGGAGCTGAGAGTGGCCTAGTCAAAGTCTAAACCTAATTTTACTTCAGTATCAGTGACAAGACTTTACAACTAATATTCACAGACAGAATCTCTTCTACCTTAACTTGAGCTACTTTGCAAATCATAAAACAGCTGTGTTTCAAGAAGAGACATACTTCCAAAGACTTACAGCTGAAACTGCTTCGACACTTTGACTGAGGGAAATTCACACCGCACTTTTCAGATGTTTTTTTTTTTTTTAGCTGAATGTGTTATGGTGTCATGCATGTATCATCATTTTAGTGCACGGGTATGGCTATAGCCTATCAAAATTAGAATCATCTTAAAGGACATGAAAATAATGTAAAACTATAAAAGAATCCATGTTTACATTATCTGTTCAGTTCTGTGCTATCTTGGATTGTTTTTATCGTGATTTTCTTTTCCATTGTTGCTATATAAGTAGGTAATTTATTAACAGTGCTGGATGTAATAGATATTTGTCATAAGCTACTTAAAAGGATGATACCTGGGGCTACTTCTGCACAAAAGTAACACAGAAAAGTTGCATCAACGCAGTAACAAACAGGACAAATGCAAAATGAGAAACAAACGTCTGGCCTTCTCTCAGATCTCTGGGTCCCCTCTTATTGGACAGATGTAAAGTAAACAAAGGTGTATTGAGGACATTTTCCCCCTGATATGTGGAGAGGAAATTAATTTCCGTCTCTGATTTTCACACTTCATATAGGCCACAATAATTAATAAGAATATCAAAAGATGAAAAGAACAAAGGAATGATTTCAGTTACACTCGAATTAATGGGACTGTGAAGCACATCAATCACTTCTTACCCTTAAGTCGCCATCAAATCAGTTGAGTTAATACAGTGTTGGACAGATAACACCCTATTACCCCTGAACCAGGAGCAGCAGCTCTGTCCTCATCAGTCAGCTCAACTGAGACACCATTTTCTTTCTTTTTTGCACTTTCATCCAGCCATGTGGATGACTTGATGGAGACGAGCTGACGTACAGCTCTCACAACCTCCTGCTCGCATACGTTTAACATCATTACTCAAGCTTCCAAATATAAATTAAACTCTCAAAATGAATAAATACATATGTCACGCTCAACCCCGGAGCTTATTATGAAACATATCACATAACGTCTGCCACATGAATTTATCATAATTAGGATTTTAAGTGCTAACACTGCAACCCTGTCTGTACAGGGGGGGGGGTTCTCCTCTCTCACATGAGGATTTGACAGCTTTACAAGAAATCGTTGCGAGCCAGACGTTATCGTCTGGATGACTGACGTTGACAAGGTGAGAGGATTTCTAAATCGGCTTGGGCCTTCACCACTCAGATCTATAGCAATGAAAATCTCAGAGACTCCAGCCAGAAGTGTGGCTAAAACTGTCATTAAATATATATATATATATATATATATATATATATATATATATATATATAGCCTTGAATTTAGAGATTATTAATAGGCCATACATGTAAGAAGAAATCATTTTATTTTACTTGTATCATAAGTGTAGAAGCCCTTTTTTAGATATCTCAAGGGGCTCACAATTTCTTCAGACTGTCACTTTGAAAATCTCAGGAAAAAAGTAGCAAGAAAATGAAACAAGTGACTTTGTGAAATGAATTTGAATTTATTATGGTTCTATAGCTGTAGATATGGGATATTACAGTAAATTGGAAACCAGGGAATAAAGCATTCCCTTGTGTTTTGCTTACTTCTGAGTTTTGAGTGCACGTCTGTCCCTTAAGTCAGAATTGCAAGGAAAAAAAAGAAAATCTCAGACAAAAAATTAGAACAACGAGAGAAACCATTATGCCATCACGAGTCCCTATCCACATAGCTTCCTGCTTTTCAAATCTTAATCTTGGTTCACGCAGCAAGATCTTTATGCTGATTTTTTTTGCCTTACAGAACAAAGGTAATGGCCCTATATTTATAGTCTTATGTTTCTGCCATGTGCGGTGTGTTAAGAGTGATCTAGTTTTCTTGGAAGGATGTCAGGACCACTAGGATCTCAAATCAGTAATATTCATCATGTTGGATTGTTTACGCCTGATACTCCAGCGTTTTGGGTGCTTCCCAAGGACAAAGAATAGTGCAGCCTGTTGAATGCGATCTGTAACAAATTAGCAGGCGATCTTTGGCTCTGAACTAATGTTTCAATTCAGTAGAATTTATGAGATTTCCCTTCTGACATGTTTATGTGTGAGATCTGCTGCTTGTATCGTCAGTCTTGTCCTTGGTCAACATTTCATTACTATTGATAGGGATTGGACATAGCCCAGTAAATAAAGATCTTCTTCCTTGGGTTCAAGCTCTTGCTTTGCTACAATAGACATGTTTATCTTTAAAGCTAAAAACCCATTTGGAAATAAGGTTAGAATGGAGCCAGTACTCCTCCTAGTCAGAACTGAGCCAGCAGGAGGGACTGTGTCTGCCCTTTTGACATGAGGACACTTTAGGACCTCAAGAATGAGTTGAACAGTGTTGCTGTAAAAAAAGATGTCTTGGTTTCCTCCTGGATGGATAATGCAGAGCATTAAATGTGACAACTGACTTCAGGAACAGAGACAATGTGGAGAAAAATTGGTAGTTAAAAAAAAACCGAGGCACCAGTGGCTCAGTGTTAGAGTGGAATCATCATACACACAGGCTACAGTTCAATTCCCAGACTGCATGTTCTCGTCTCTCTGTCTGCCCTT